TTGTCAGCTATCATGTATCTATGTATAAAGTGAGATACCAGCATATATATATTAAAAAATAAATAGATTTAAGGTGAGAAGTTAGGTTATGTAGGGGAACACTGACTTTTAACTGTGTGCATTTTCTGTTCAATTTGTGTATATTTTTTTCCCCAAAAGGTTAATGTCTTTACATTGTTCCTGTAATACATCTGCACATTGATCCAGCCAGAGTAATCAGAGTGGCCAGGCATCCAGCCTCGGCAAGGATGGAGCAGGCTGGTGGCACTTGAGTAACTGCCTGACTGGTAGATTCTTCCTTCTGGAGCCTATAGATCACGGCCAATCCTTTGGGGAGGTCTAATGTAGCAAACACCAGCTCTTTCCTAAAAGCATGACCCAGAGGTGTGTGTGCTGGGCTGTTTCCACAGTGTGCCATAGTATTGTGCTTTGCTTGTGACTAAGTCTGGAGTTAGGGGCTAGCTCCTTTCTTGTTGTGGAGCTAAGCTTGCATATATTTATTACCCAGTTTAGCTAGGATCAGGGAAGCGAGAGCAATAGAAGCTTTTTCCCCTCTCATTAGTCCCAGAGGGTGATGCCTTGACTTTAAAGCCCTTGACTTTAAGTTGCTTTGGCCATCTGAAGTTCCTGGTGATGCAAAGATGAGCCCAGATTCACATCCCATTGCATGGGGCCACTGTCAGTGTGCACAGTTCTGGGGCAGGGCAGCTGCCATGTGTAGCAGAAGTTAAGCAGAAGTGCTGGCAGGGAGTCTGGTGGGTGCAGAGTGTCTGACCCAGAATTACTCATCTATTTCCTGGGGGGGGGGTGGGGGGCTTTCCATTCAGATTGTAACTTGGGAGTTTTTAGAAGTGCTTTTTGAACTTTGAGCAGTTCATTCACAAACAGGAAGCAGCGTGGTTAAGTAAGTGAGTACTGATGTGTCATTTCACGTATCTGTGTTGCTTTTTTCTGTAACCATTTCCATGGAATTGTTTTATTTTTCTGGGAGGTTCAGTCATAGGTGATACATGAATGTGATTCAGTACAACATAGTTGTAGGTAGCATAGAGATTGCTAAAACTAGGGATGCTGTTTATACAGTTTTAAAATTGCACTACCTGCTGCAGCATCGCCAGTGTGACTTGGCAGCTATGCCATGGTTTTTTACCCTCAAACCTCCTCAGTGGCTGTTAGCTCGTGCTGCACAGTCCTTCCTACTGGGTAGGCCATTCCTAGCATCGTTGTGCACGTAAGGTGCCTTTTGTCAGGTGTAACTGTTAGCCCAGGGGGTGACCAGCAGACTTGCAGTGTTCCCTTGGTCGTCCAAGAGTCTGCTTGACCTCTTTGTGTGCCGAGTTGAGGGCTTGGATACATGAGGTAAGGGAACAGCTCAACTAATATTAATAAAAATATGAGTGCTTTCTACCATGGCAGGGAGAACTGCTTGTAACTCAACCAGTAGCATTTCCCAGGTCATTAAAGTGGTCACTGCCGTGTGATTTAGAAAAAGCTTTCTGTGTCTCCATCCATTCCTAAAGCAACAGCCTTGTTCATCACTCTAATGCCTAGAAAATAATGTATTTTTAGAAGAGTTTGCTGCTATAGTGACTAAAAAGTAGCTGTGTGCTGATTTTTGTTAAAACTTGCTCATCTAGTTGTACCATACAGGGGTCTCGATTGTGATTGCAGTTGGACCAAAACAAAAAGTAATATTCCAATTTGTTTCCAGAAAAATAGGCTATTTTGTCTTTTCTTTTGCTATAGCTTTGTCACTTTACCAAGAAGGCAACACAGGTTTGTGTTGGCAGGTTGGCTTTTATACCATGTATTGTATGTTAAAGTACTGTAAGACAAATGGGGTGTTACAAATTTGTTTCACTTCTTAAGAAAATAAAAATAAAAATCTATATTTGAGGCACTATGATTTCTCAGGATGGGCTGTTTCTGACGTTCCTTCAAGAGCACTGGTCATGTTAAAGCCATGTTAAAGTTTAGTCAGTGTTTTCCAAAGCAAGGGCTAAGCAAAAAGCCACGCTAGGATGCCAGCGTCCCCACAAGTGGAGGAAAAACAAAGAGGAGACCCAGGTTTTGAAACCTGGGACTACTTTAGCCTTGGGTACAGTCAAGTTGGCTTCAGTGCCATGACAGCAAGTGAGTTAGCCCAGAAAGAGTCCTGTTACTCATTATTCGCATCCAAATTAAAACATTTACAGTGCATAGACATGTCTACACTGACTCTGATGCCTTTTTCTTTCTAATTTATGTATTGCCCTATTGCTTCTGGCACTTGAAATCCCAGCCTCTGTCTTAAGCCCCATCCTTTCACTTGTTCATACACCTGCAGCTCCTGATCCCCAGCGGACCCAGGGAATAACAACAGGACACTTTGCATAAGAGCTCTTACAAGTATTATTTTATTTCTTCCTTTTTTTTTTCTTTCTTTTTTTTTTTTTAAATGCTATGTACAATCTGTTTAAAGCTCGTCAAAATGCACGGGTTCCCATTCAATGGAGCTGTGCAGGGACATAGATTCAAGACAAGAATAAAATCTTTACTTTTCATCTTCATAAGACACTTCCTTTTTCCCCATTACAAAATAGTTTTAAGAATAGTAACATTTATAAAGGTATCTATATTTGACATCATATAAAATAAAACAAGATTTATACTAAGATTTTTTCCTTATTTTCTTTTATATGGAGTATATACAATATATACATAACTTTTCACTGTGTTTGTCAAACCAGCCTGATTATACCCACCAGGCTTTAGCTTATATGTACAAATATGCTAAAAGTGCAAGACTTTTTATTTATTAAAGCTGCCTGTGTTTTCAGAGGTCTGGAATTGTGTGGCCTATATATATGTATTTTTATATAGATATACATATACATGCACATAATGTGTATATTAAAAATACATCTATCTGTATATCTATATAGAGAAATATAGTATATAGGTGCTTGTCTACTAGAAAGCCTCAGAACATTAATGACTACTAGGTTGACACTGACACTGGAGCCCAATCCTGACACAGGTGGCATCAGTCACTTTCCCACCCACTGCTCGTCAGCAACAAGTCACACATCTGTGTTCTTATAAGCACCAAGCCCACCAGCAACCCTCAATTCCAAATGGGTCTCAAAAACACAGGTCATCGCTAACACTGAGGTAAACAAATACAAATCAACCTGAATAAAGGTATTTATTTATTCATCTATTTGTTTGAGAGTAAGTGACAACAGAAGGCAAAACCCCCACAGCCCTGACTCAGCCTGCCCCCAGCCTGGAGGCAGACCAAGCAGGGACCAAGCAAACCCCAAAAAGGGACTATGGGATTTTGTCCTCTGGAGCATGTCTGGAAAACATGGCTCTACCCGAGAGGCAGTGCCTGGGCCCAAGCAGCCACCCACTGCTGGCCAGCAGCTGGGCTAGTGGCTGGGGCGGGCACTGGGAATAGGGGTGGGGGGGGGACACATGATAAAGTGCATTTTAGGTCTCTTATTTTAGCAAGGCCAATCTAACATGTAAACATCCTTGCAAACCTCCTGTGCTCCGTGCTGGGAGGCTGCGAGCAGGGGTGCCAGTACCACCCCACATCCCCCCTCCCTCCCTGTCTATGCAGCCCAGAAGTGCCATCAGCAGGGCTGTGTCCGTGCACTGCCCCATCCGGCACACCCACCTCCCCCCCAAACCCCTTCCCAACCTGCTTTTGTTGGACTTGGCTTGCTTTTGAAGCCACAGCAATGCCAATGAACTACTCTGCCCCTTGGCTACCAAGCCCCAGACCACAACCACCACCACCTCTGATTGATTGACACTTACCATGTCTGGGCTCCTGTACCGTGATGGGACACTGTGGAACAGCCACGGTAGTGTGTTGGGGCAATGCAGGTTTAATGGGCAGATGCATGGCCTTTCCCTCCTGCCGCCACACTGGGCCACAGATTGTGCACAACAGTGGAGCCCTAAATGTGTGTGTTTGCTTCCCCACTAACATTATGTGCCAAGGTCAGAGGGAAGGAAAAAAACCCCAAACAATCCCCCAAAATATAACAACTCCTCCTGCTCTAACCTCATGAGCAGTTTTACTGTGCTAGGATGGGAGGGGGAGACCCTAAAAGTAACAGTGCTTTAAGAATAAAGATAAATACTTTCCTACCGCAAAGGCTGCGTGCTGGCCCTTGCTGCAGACCCTCACATGATGCTGGGGCACAAAGGACCCTTGGTTCTCCTCAGGACTTGGGCTTTAAGAGCCAAGGGCTGAGGCTGTCACTGTTTCAGCTCCTGAGCTTGCTGGGAAGCTTGGGCTGCTACAACCTGTTTGACACGCAGGTTTTTCTGTCCCCCTGCCACTGAGCCCAAGCACTTAGACCTGGCCCTAAAGCCAAGACTTTGTCTATAACTTATAGACAGAGCTATATCCTACAGCATCAGAGATCTCTAGCTATAGATCCATGTACTGTTAGGTACGTCCAGGTTTTTTCATGCTAACTTTCCCACTTCCCCCCTGCTGCTTGGGCTGCTCATGCCAAAGGCTGCTCTATCAGTGAGTACCAGTGACCAGCTGCTGTGGTGGGTGGTGCCAAGAGCCAAGAAAGTGGCTTGCACAAGATAAAAAGCAAACAAATGCCAAACCCCCAACCAAATAAACAAAAAACAACAACAACAAAAAAAAAACACAAAAAACCCCAAACAAGCAAACAAAAAAAAAGGAAAAAAGGAAAAAAAAAAGCAGCACACTTTGCTTGGATTCAACAAGCTATGAACTCATGCAGCCCCAAACCTCGCTCTGACTGCCAGATGGAGCTTAGCTGTTAGACAGACCTGGTCCTAACTAGCCAGTTTCTTGCAAAGCTTATAGTAATCTATCTATCGCCTACGTTTGGGCTAACAGTGCCCAAAGTATTCAGCTATGAACACCTCAAAAACGTACATTTTCATTTTGCCTTTGGAAAGACACAAAGAGTAGGGACGCTAAACCACACACCCACTGAGGAATAAACTGCTGTTGTTGCTTTCGATTCATACATATAAACTTATAGTTTAAAAGTGATGATTTACAAAAATACAATTTATTGCTGACCCTATGGACTCGGAACATCTCTTGTGTCCTTGTGATTCATTTAGGTTGGCCAAATGGAAACATGATCTAGCAAACCCACACAATTTGCCATCACAGGCTGTTCTATGCTTGCTATGTTTGTTTTCATGTATAGAAACACACACAACTACATCACTAGAAACAAAGCAACCAATAAAAGAACGAGTAAGGGTTCTTTGTAACCTGAAAAATACGTGGCTACAGGGAGTAAAAACCATATAAATTTATCTCCACTCATTCACCAAAATAAAACATGACAAGTATCTTACTAGCTGCGGTGTGAGCTGGTATAACAACAGTAAGAAATTCAGGCAAAAGTGGTGTGACGTAAATTAGCAGCATTATCCAATCTCCTGGAAAACAAAAAATTGCGGGACTGAGGTATAGAAAAGGGGGGGGGGGAGGGAATCCACAATGGACCTACTACAGCGAAACGAGTTATATACATGGTGATCCCACGGCATCCTGCAGACCGCTGCAGTCCGTGTGTGTGCTCCAAATGCTGGGCTTAAATTCACAGTGACTTTAGCATTGAAGTCCTGAATGGAAAAGGGTTTTCTCCATTGCAAAGCAATCCTCACAGCGACCCAATAAATAACCTCTCTGCAGCCAGAAAGCCACTGCCTTCCAGTCATTCTGCGGTGCTGGGCAAGGGCACATACAGCTGCCAGAGCAGCATCATGTACGAATCCCAACAGATGAGGTGCCCCGGAGCCATCCATCCCTGGTGGGGACTGGTCCCTCCAGCCACCACCTTCCCTGTGGGCCCGACGTCACCCATCCGGTTGCTCCGACAGTGTCGTGCTCCTTCGGTGCGCTCCAGGGTGCAGCAGCTGCAGCCCAGGGTGCTCCCTGCACCCGACCTGGTGCTCAGGGCAGCTGCATCTCAGGCAGGTCGGAGGCTTGGCCCTGCGTGTGGCGGCTCTGCTGCTGTGGGTGCAGGAAGTAGCTCAGGGGGTTCTGCTGCGGTGCATGGGGTGGCTGCAGAATGCGCTGTGCACCCCCAGGCACCAGCTCGGGACCTTGCATCTGCCAGGAGACACAAACGGGGCAGGTCAGACCTGCCCTATCACCCATCCATTCTCCCTCTCGCTGTGGAGCTGGTGCTAAGGCTCATAACCAGGATGTGAGGACCAAGTCCTAAAGGTAACCTCTACCCATCAAGGGTGTAGGTTGTGGACAAGCAGTGGGATGCTGGTGCTATCAGCATGACTAACAATGCCTGGAGAGTACAGAGTGGAAGCAGGACAAATCCATCCTACCAACCAGTCCCATGGGGAGCCCAGCAGGAATGGAGAACTTCAAAGGCTACTTGGACACAAGGTAGAAATCTGCAGGACATGCAAATTCCATCTTCCATGGGAAGGATCTTCAGGCAACCAGTTAAGAGGTTGTAAAGTGACCTTGTCCATGGTCCCATGGCTGGTACCCCAAACTCCCACTTAAAGGTACTGTGGCACCAAAGCCTGGTTTTCTGCTGCCCTGGAGCTGTTTATCTTTCCCAGCATCATCATTCTGCTGCCCATATCACAGGTCCTCAGGACTTCAGTGTACCCAAAGCTGGGATGGCTCATGCCCACATTTGCTGGCAATTCATTTCTTACTCTAAATCCAGTCCTGCTGCATGGCTACTCTCAGCTCCTGCTTTGTTTTCTATCAATCACCTTTGCCTGAAAGGCCATAACTTACTCTACCAACCAGGCAAGCGTTGGAGAGTGTATTGCAGCGCACTCAACAAACCCTCTTCTTGGCAGCATTAATTTGCCATGCACTGATGAAGCTGTGCTTTGGAAAATCAAAATCACCTTCTCCAGAGATTTCTGTTGTAAAACACCCGTTTATTAAAAGAAAGCATTGATGGCAGCTGACAAAAACCCTGTTATGCTGAGACATAACAGCAGGAGGCATGTTTTCAAAAGAGCTTATCCCTCATCACGTTTCACATCTACAGCAGGATTCCCACTGTGTTGACAAAAATGGGTATTTCTTCTGTACACTAACTGATAAATGAGTTTGTCGGAAACTGTGGCTTTGAACGGGTGCGGAGGCAGCCTGGAAAGGCTGAGCACTTTGGGTACACACAGATGCAATGGGAATGAAGGACGTGGAAGTGCACTGACCAGGTTCAGTTAGCCAGGGAAGCCCCACTCCTTCAAAATAAAACCCCAACCCAACCCCAAAACCCATCCCTCTGCACCCTCAGAAACATGTTCCAGCTCCATTACCTGAAGGTAGAGACGGTGCTGCTGAACCTGCTGCTGTGGCCATTGGTGGAGATGAACTGGTGTGTTTGCCTGGTGGGATGTGAAGCTGGTGTGTGGGATCATCAGGGACGGGGAGAAAACGGGTGACGGGGCTGGAGGTCGGACAGTGCTACGGGTAACCGGGTGCATCTGTACTGGGGGAGGCAAGATCTGCTGCTCTGCAACGAATCTGCCACGAGGAGGAAAATCAGACATGAGAACCCTGGAGCAGGCCCTGGGGAGCCCAGGTGCTGCAAGAACCCAACCAGAGCAGGGGTTGTGATAGCAGTGATAGCAGGCCCTGGATTTCCCCCTCTCCATCAAGCATGGACTGGAACTGCAGAACATTAAGGTATTTTAAGGCTATACATCTCCATAACTTGATTAGGCAGTTTAGGCTTTGCAAAAGATAGAAAATACTTAACACCCCATCCCTTTTTACAAAGCATTTTAGTCATCACATAGTTCTTTGTAATTAAAAATATTCCCATTACTTTTCTCCTAACCAGATGAGCTTTTGTTCCTTTTAACACCAAGACTTTGCATTTGCATGACCATGTTCAAGTTCTTCAAAATACTTTTCAGTGCTGAAGGTGCCCTACTAAAACACTGCATGGAAACAAAAGACACCAAGGACTCACTCACTTTCCTTGCTGCCTGCTGGCACTGCTCTGCATGGACTGGCCACTGCCATTGGTGGCAGGCATCATGGCTTGGATAGACTGGTCCAACAGCATCCTGCGGTGGAAGGAAAACAGGATGGTCAGGGAAGGGAGAGGTCCAAACACCTGGCTGTCTGTCTCTAGAAACAAATCCCTGAAAATCCCCCCTGAAAACCCTCCCTGAAAACATGCAAACCATCACCTTGAAAAAAAAGGCTAATGAAATAGGATGCTATTATCACCTTGTCTGATGCACTCACAGAGCTGAGTTGAAACTTGCTAAATCTTTCATGTATAAAAAAGGTATGTCTTATAGAAGGTTAAACCTCCAGGGTTTATCTTGTTTCCTTACACAGTATTTTGAAACAGCTGGATCCTGAAGGCAGTGTCTGCAGATACCTCCCTGAAAGCTGGCTGAATAGTTTGGGCACTTGTGTATGTTTTACAGTGTTCCCAGCATTGTATAAAAGAAAAATGGCTTTGGCACAGCACTTGTCCTGCCTGGAGAAAAGACACTTCAGAGCAAGCACACACAGGTTTGGGAAAAGCTGCCCCTACTATTTTTCCCTTTTCACTCCCTCTGACAGCAGAAGGCGTCCAAAGGCTACTGAGCTACATGGACAATTTATGGAAATATGGAGAGAAAAGGATTTCAGGCCCCTGAGGGTACAGCACGGTGTGCCTAGCACCCTGCTTGCATGCATGCTGGGCTCACCACTAACCCAGATGTCTGCAGGAGGGAACATCCTTATGGTCCTGCTGTGGCACCCAGAGTCCATCACCCCCAAACCCAGATGTGCCTGCCCCCCTTGCTGCCCAGGTACTGCCACTTTCTGTCACCACCATCAGGATGGTCCCAGCAGGGCTGTGTTCACACCTGAGGCTCCTGTCCTGGCTGTAGTCAGACTGCAGTTGCCTTTCACTGCCGTCAGCTGGCATCTGTGCAGCCACTGTAATGGGATGTGTTTGTGATAAAACCACGGGGTTGTTGTAGAGGGGCACTGAAATGCTCGTCTGCCCTGGCAGACGTGTTTGCTGGGTTTGGTTTCCTCTCACTAGGTGCTGCTGCTGCTGCTGCTGTACCTGAAATGAAGACATAGATACCCATGTGAGCTTTTACAGTTCCCTAATAGAAGGCTAAAACAACAGCTTCCAAGGAAGTCCCCAAACAAAGAGTCTCATCTTCTCTTTAAAGCAGTAGATTTGATCTTTTTTTGCTTTTGGACACCTCAATTCTTTCCCAAAGAGATGTGACCATCTATGCAGTGGGTTTAGATCTAGTGATGACAAACTTGGTTTTCAAACCTGCCTTCCAAGCTTTCTCAGGCGGAAGAAAATTAATCTTCTATAATTATAGCTACTTCCCCACATTACAAAGTCACTACACTCACTGGCTATGAACCAGCATCATGCTGCAGTCACAAAGAGAAGAGAATCAGAGTCCAAATCTCCCACTCAGCTCCTCTCTGATCACCAGGATGGCTCCAGTGGTCCCCCAGGCTTAATGCTTTTAGGCTGCTTGGGGTTTATTTTTACAGTTGAATGACAAATTTTGTAATGGAGGCTACAGAGTAAAACCAACACAGAGGAGATGTGTGGTTTGGTCCTCTCTGTGGACCATGGAGAGGGGGGACACAGTAGACAAGTATCTAAGAGCCAGGAAGGGGGTAATATGGAGATAACAAAGCAGGGAGTGACCTGGGCAGCCACGCTGCAAGGGTCCCTGAGGAATTGGCGTGGTGAGGGCAGGAGGGTGCTGCAGTAGTGCTTCATCCCTGTAAGGCCTTGTTGCTGTGACTTCTTGGCTGTCGTCTGCCTGGGTGTCCCCGGTGGTGGCCTCCTGGGGTTTGGGTGCTGCAGGTTGTTAAAGACTATGGGGATCGGCTGCTGCATCAGCATCTTCAGATAAGAGAGACACACAATGGAGTTGTCACAGCTCATATGGTGGTTGTGCTGCCTGGGAGGTAACGGCTCCAGCTCCCAGACTGTCTCTATCAGCACAGATACACTGCAGCAGCAATACAGCATCTTAGAATCACGGAATGGCTAGGCTTGGAAACGAACTTAAGATCATCTAGTTCCAGTCCCCCTGCCATGGGCATGGAAACCAACATCTCTAAATTCAGGGCAACGTGAGCCATCAATAACAGAAAATCAAATGTTAGCTTGTGCCTAAATACTTATTCAGAGCCACGACCATTCGAGCTTCATTATGCCTGTTGCGTTTTGCAGGAACACAATAGGGTCCAGCAGCATTAACCAGCCACCAAATCTCCAAGCTCTTTGCACAGGAGGAAATTTGGATTAGCTTGAGATTAGTTTTTTCTAAATCACGAAAAATAGTGACTCAGTACTTAAGCAGAAACTGACACCGCTCATCTCTTGGGAGATACTACTCCCACATTAGAGACCAAACTACCAATTTATCCGGAGCTCATTTCTAAATGTGTTTTCCACTGACAATCTTGTTACTGATCTGCTCAAAGGAAAAGAAAATGGTTTGTGGGTTTGAGAACCCTGGGGGCAGTGAATACCTGCAGGTTGGAGTCCTGCACGAGCTGGAGCTGCTCCTTGATGACATGGAGCTCTTCTTGCTGCGTCTTGATGTCAGCTTGCAGTATGCGAGTCCTCTCCTCCAGCTGCTCTTTCAGCTGATGCATCATCCCCAGCTGGGTCGGGAAATGGTACACTGGCTGCAGGGAACAGAGAACAAGATCATGGTGTGGAACCAGTCCTGCTATTCATGTTCATAGTGATGTGGGCTTCAGAGAAACAACTGATTTTCAGCTTTTGCCATAGAAAATATGATACAAAAAACTGCAACTGCATATTTAACCAGAGCGTGACTGTACTTCCAGAGCAGCAGCACAACTGGCTCATACTCATTGCCTCATTCCAGACCTTGGCCTATTAAATTCCTGTGCAGATGTAGGGTCCACACATGCGACTTCCTGTCCCTTTAGGGTGACTCCCTGCTGATCTTGGACCACTTGTGTTTTGTGGTAGATACTGCATGCAAACCCTTCCCAGACCTGGCTTTCAGCTGTGCCGCTAATTGTATCTGACAAATGCCATGCCCAAGTTTGGATGCAATCCCACCTTGGGATCCATCCTTCAGACCTGTGCTGACCACCTTCAATCCGTGTATTATAGTCTGAATGTTCACTGCACTGACCTCAAAGCTCTGCAAGGATGAGCCTCACAGTTACAGTTGGTGACTCCCACATATTTCTTTTTCTGGCCTAAGTCAAACTTTCTGTGACATCCCCTTCCTCTACCAGGGCAATAAAGCTCTTCATTATCATATCAGCCTGTAGTTAGTAGCCAGCAATTCAGAGATGAGCCTTCAGCAGCAGCCCCCAATGGTTTTGACAAGTGCAAACCTCCCACACTATCTCCTTGGCTCTCCTACCTGCTCTGTCTCCAGCTGTCATAATTTGGCTTCAGGTAAATCTCAGTAGCAGCAACAGAAAGGGCACTGAAACCTTGTCCCCACGCTGGGATGAGCCAGCAAGGGAGTGAGAACCATGAACTGGAGCCACCAAGTCTGTCCCACTGACCGACCACACCAGTGTTTAACAGAAATAGACCACGTACCATCACAGCGTGCTGAGAGGGGGCTGCCAGCTGAGCCACCGGCGGCTGAGGGAGCTGTTCACCAGGGGCTGGAGGAGTTGCTATGGCCTAGAAATGAAAACTTCGCCTTACTGCAGGTCCATAGCACCTCTGACGCAGAGCCGGTGCAACACCAGCTCACACTGGTGATGGGTAGAGGGAACTGGACAACTCCACGTGTTGATCCGAGGATGAGTCTGAAGGGAGAATTTAAGTTCCCTCATGCCCTCCTCGGTGTCAGCATCCATTTTTGGATAAATGCCATTTCACACGTACAAACCCCAAGAAAAGCGGACTCGTAGTGTGAGGTGTTTGGCCTGGAGGAGCAAACCGAATCCCGAACGGAGGCAGCAGAGGAGGCTCTAGCGGCTCTCCACTGGCTCTGCTGGCCAGCAGCACTCCCCACGGCCCTGTGCCCAGGCCCAGCACACTTGGAGGTGAGAATCTAGCCTCTCTGAGGGCAAGCTTAAAGTTTATCAAGCTCATTTCTTTATGACATGATAACACTATTTCTTGCCGGCACCACTGACCTGAGCGCTTCCAGCTGATGCCAGCCGCAGGGCTGCCTTCTCCGCCTGCCCCCCTGGCACTGACAGGCGGGTGGGAGTGCTGGTGTCCGTGTGTCGCATGGATGACGTGGCTGGAAAAGAGACAGTCTGCTATGATGCTGCAGACCTGTGCCTGGGTACCCTGGCTGAGCCTGAACTCCAAGGACACAGATGAGCAGTGACAAAGCTTCCAAGCTGGGTCCCCAGACTGCCCCGCTATGGCCCCTCTGGCTCCCTGCCTGACTCAACAGGTTTCCTTCTGACGCTAACACCACATTTCAGCTTTCCCTCCATGGGTGTCTTGAAATGAGCTTTCCTACTCTTCCCCTGGCAAGGTGCTGTGGCTTTATAGCATCCTTCCAGTACCTAAAGGGGCCTAAAGGAAATCTGGAGAGGGACTTTTTACAAGGACATGTAGTATATAGGATGAGGTGAGCTCTGAGATGAAAGAGGGTAGATTTAGATTAGGTATTGGGAAAAAATTCTTCCCTGTGAGGGTGCTGAGACACTGGCACAAGGGGCCCAGAGAAGCTGTGGCTGCCCCATCCCTGGCAGTGTTCAAGGCCAGGTTGGACGGGGCTTGGAGCAACCTGGTCTAGTGGAAGGTGTCCCTGCCCATGGCAGGGGTTGGAACTGGATGAGCTTTAAGGTCCCTTCCAACCCAAATATTTCTATGCTTTCAAGGAAAGCCCTGTGTCAGCTTCTACCCATGCCCCTGCATGGGCACTGCGGTCACAAGTTACAAGCTGTGCTGGTCCTGGACACACTGAGCAACCCACTCCTGCCTTGACTGGAGCACTCCCAAAGTCAAACCCTGTGTTTTGGAGGTGACCTGCGCTGGCACCTACACGTGGAATCGGAGAGAGCGGTGTGTGAGGAGCGCCGGGAGCTGTGGGACGACAGCGACACTCCCTCCCGGCTGGCATCCTGGCTGCTGCCGCACTGCCCTACATCCAGGTAGCTGCTGTGGCTCTGCAGGAGCGAAGCACAAGTGGTGAGATCGTCAGTGCTGGAGAGGTCCTCCACCTAGCTGACTGCTTGTTTGCATAGGATATAACAGGCTGGGTGTGTAAAGGGCCAGCACTGCAGCACCTCATCACCAACCCCCCGTGCAGTATTTGGTCTGCCTCTGCGTTCACCCTAAAGCCTTCAGGTATCCTTATGCTTTTATAGTTGGCTTCCTCCTGCCCCATTTCTTCAGGGATGTCTGATTTCTTGCCCGTGGCACACTGGGAGCTCCCAGCCTCCCACTCCCCTCCAGAAGCAGTGGGAGCAATCACTGTGCCTCTCCTCCACCTGCCTTACATCAAAAGATGCAGCTTCAGGTCTGCAGAAAAATATCTCAGCCACCACATAGAAAGGGGAAGAAGACTTGGAAGTGTGCTGTGCTGACAGAGAAGCAGCTGCTTGCAAGATGGTCCTTGCTCAAGTGCAAAAGGTCTCTGGGACAGCTTCCCCTATACATCCCATACAGCTTCTATAAAATAATGTCAGAAGAGCAATGAGGCTAAGGGAATTATAATTGCACATCAATCCACTTGAAAATGCACTTACTGGTCTTTGTAAACTACCGAGAGGAAGAACGTAAAAGTAATTAAAATGCCCTTGTGAATTGAGCAGGTGTGTTGGGATGCCAGTCTGATGCAAGCCATGGAAGTTTATTGCTCTGGCCACAAGGATGTGATCCTGCCCAGTGGTGTAAACAGAGCTGAAATCTAGAATGAGTGTTTTCCCTTCACTTCCAATCTTCACCTGAGTATCAGTGGTGAGCTGGCATTAACAAACCAGGTGCTCTGTGGGGCTGCCCTGCACCCAGATCCTCTGTGCCTTGTGAATGGTGACAGGTACAGCGATCTAGCCTCCTTCAGCTCTGCTTTTCTGCTTCTGAACTGAGGTGATTTAACCTCTTCTGTGTGTAACAGCCTCAGAAAGATAATGAACAGCAGAACGGCTGAATTTGCAGTTATATGCCTGAATCAGGATGTTTAGAGACATGCAATAGAAACCTTCTCAGGGTCCACCTTGATCACAACCCAACTGAAGACTTGGGAGAAGAAAGAACAGGTATTTTCCAAGACTGGCAAGGGATTACTCAGTTCAGTTTAAACACCTACTCATTCAACCGTGAAGGGATACAGTACCTTTAGAGAAGAGGATGCCAGTTCAATTGATGACTCCTCAAGGCCAAGATCTCGCCTTCTTTCAGCTCGAACTTCTGCATAACTAAAAAAGTAAATAGAAATTAAAATCCATTTTTTTCACTCTGGATAGCATCTATTTTATGGTAAGTATCCTACCATACAGATCACCACGGAGCTTTCACAGCGCACACAGACTCCCCCTCTCTCATACACAAGGTGCTTAGAGGAACATCATCATACAGCCTTGCAGTCTGTGAGTAACTGACTAACACATGCTGAATATCCATCGATTAAAGCCAACAGGGCAGTGTCTCAGGCCCACTGCACCCAGTGGGTTAATTGCACTAATCATTTCAAGCACAAAAGTAGACACTCTGCAAAGTTCAGCCTCAGGTGCCTTCAAGGAAAACTAATCTAAAAGCAAAGTGCACCTGGTTACTGAAGACAGAATGGGTGCTTTGTCTTCAGTACAATTTTTCTGATAAAGGATATTCCCATTTTCAATCATCAGGCAGAAAAATAGCCCTACAGCTTCGGTGCAGGTAAACTGCCATAGCAAAGATACATTTATTTTCTAACCTGCAGCATTAGAAAATGGGTATGTTAACATCCCATGGTCCCATGGAAGCTCTGAATACAAACCGACGGCTTCCCAGGTGCAGGAATGCCCACGAATGGGATCTAAAAATGTGTATTTGCTTTCTTTAGCATTTTTTTTTCTCTTACACAAGAAAATATTTAAAGTAAACAATGCCACATGATTCACTATTGGGATAAATTGGAGAGGATGTTTTAAAGACTCTCTAAGTGCATGTGGATCATGAGCATGGAAAGGTGCCAGAATTTGGGATGCTAAAATATTAATGAGCCATAGCCTTCGTTGGAGGCAAGAGAAGTTGCTGAACTCACTTATACCACTGTAGGCAATGAATTCTCCTGAAAGCATGTTTTAATTTTTGTGCTTCAATAATATATTCTAAATGTTAACTATATGACACAGAACTGAATTTCAAAATCAATTTAGAATGGTATCACTAGGTTTAAGAGGCACTGGAAGCAGAAAGAAGAAACCATGCACAATAAATTCAGACCTTACAGTGAAGCCCAATTCCCTGAAGCTACAACTAACTCAGAAACAATCTCTCTGTTTAACATTTGCTTACAATTTGCATATAGAGATAGGAAAATGGGTGATGGCTCTAAACTGACAAAGGGGAGACTCAGATTAGATATTAGGAAGAAGCTGTGAGGGTGCTGAGGCTCTGGCACAGGGTGCCCAGAGAAGCTGTGGCTGCCCCATCGCTGGCAGTGTTCAAGGCCGGGTTGGATAGGGCTTGGAGCAACCTGCTCTAGTGGCAAGTGTCCCTGCCTGTGGCAGGGGGTTGGAACTGGATGAGCTTTAAGGTCCCTTCCAACCCAAACCATTCTATGACTCTATGTTTCTACCATGATAGCACTTTATATAAGCACACCAGCTCTCATCACTTACACCCGTTTAGGGGTGTAAGGTGTTCTCAGTCTGTGTTTTGCAATATAGAGAAGAATCTCAGTTTCATAGTTGTTGTTCTTTCAGACGATTGACAAGAAAAAGGGGGACCAGAAAAAGATTTGCAAAGTGATTCCTGACAGTAAAGAAAGACGCAATGAGCAATATGTTTACTCAAGTTAACAGAACAAACCAGTATGCCACTATTTTTTCCAGCCCTTCAGTAAATACATTCCCACTCTGAACACGATCTTTTTTGAGATGACAGTGGTAACCAAGCAGATTCCCCTACAGAAGGCACTCATCATAGAGCATCCCACACATGCATCGCCTTCCAGCTCTGATTTGCAGTCGAACACAACCAGCTTCCCACTAGGGGGGGATCCAGGGCTGAGTTTCATGTGAGGAATAAAGCTAGCAAGACAGCAGAGCATTTCGATCATAAATATTTAAAGCTCTGATCAAAAGGTTTTGTGGAAGATGTATGGTCCTATTCATGCCCATAAAGCCACCTAATTCTTAACAGCTTTAATTCTTCCTATGGCCGTGCCATGGCTAGGGATAAAAGGGGAATATAACACACTGACAGACTTGGCCAAAGCTTCCAGGTTTTTGGCCTGGTTGCCAAAAAAGAATAAAGGAGTAATAAAAACAGATGTTCCCCGTAGTAATAGCTTTATAGATTTACATACCACCTTAGTGTGACAAAATGCACAGCAAATATTTGGCTAACACAAAACAGAACTAGAAAAAATAACGCATGAGCACATGGGACATACATTGTGAAGTGTTTGGTGCCTGCTCCTACCTAACTACTAGGTGAGTGCAAACGATGAACTCGGGTTTAGAATTCCACTGGTGGTAGGTGATGTAGTAGTGTGTCTGCAGCCATATCCACTGCTGGCCTTTGGTCAGGAACCGGTAGTAACAGGACTTTCCTTTTCCAAACTGCATCACTGGTAAAATAAAAAAGAAAGCCATTTATAGCAAACAGGAATTTCATGGTGCAAAGGCGATTAGAAAACCCACTCAGTCCCATGCCCCTCCTGCAGTCTGCTACTGCACTGAAATGCCTTTATAAACACAGCAGATGATACTTTTCTGCTATTGATTTCAAAAAGTGCACTCTGCTATTTTGAGATTGATCTAATAACTAATAATTGGCATAACTCTATAACTAGCTGTATTTTCATAACTTATTCATGGGATCCTTCGCAATAAGCATAAATAACATTAACTGAATAAATTATTGGCCTTTCACAAGTATATAAGAATGCATTTTAAAGACTGGGGGCTTGAAGCCAGGATCATAATAATGGCATAAAACAACAAGATAGTGGAGTTTTAGCAGTTTAACTGAAAGTTTTCTTCCAAGAGATGACCCAGCGATCCCAGACCTGGTACGTATTATCAGAGTATGCCCAGAAAAAATTCAAGTGGCGTAATACAACTAGAAAATAGTGAGAACTACATTAAATAACCACATTGTTTCCAGATTGCTTGGAGTGCAAAACAAAATTTGCTCACCTAAAATACCCATAATTAATGCAAAATAAAATGTGGTTTGCGCAAACCCATTTCACTTCACAGTAGGCAAGATGCCTGCCCTGAGTGGTCAACCTCACAAAGAGGAACTTATCAAGCCACACTAACCCAAGTATTTTTACTCACCTGCACACCTCTACTTTGTTAAATATCAGGACTAAGTCCTTCAGCGGTCCCATTAACAGTGATGGGCTTTATATGAAGCACTTAGTGAAGATCTGGCTAACACACTGTGCTGGGGTCACTCAGCTCCCAGTCCAGGCAGAGATTTCCTGAAGCAACTTCCGTAAGTCACTGTGCCAGCACCTTATTTTGTCCCCTGCACAGTAAGATTAAAGGAACCTTTCCTTCAGGTGTGTTGTGCAAATCGTCTTTTAGTATGTAAGAGGAGATCGATCCATGGCTACCAGAGATGTAGAATATAAATCATCGCTTGAAAGAGTCTCTGCTGAATGATCTGTCCCCACTTTCAATACAGTTAGTGTCTACATCAAACTGCAGGCATGTATTACCAAAAGGACATCATCTGCTTAAGTAACTCACTCCTGTCTGAACAGTCTTTAAAGCTAACGGCACTCAAAAGTACTGTACTTGAGAGCAATTAAAATTTTCCTTTAATATTGCCATCTGCACACTTGCTGCACTTGATTCAACCTGTGTCTGGCCCTTTTCACAGCTTCCTGTATGCTCTCAGCCATGCAACCCACTTCCCCACCACCCGTTCTGTACCAGCACTTTGCTCAACAGGGTATGAAAACTGGCAGGGAAGTGGAGTGGGGAAACTTGACATTTAAAGAAGTAGTAATTTTCTCCATTCTCTACTAGGTCCTTTAGCATCTTATGTGTAAGTGGTAGAGATGGGGGTGGTTTGCAACTCAGAGACGGAGCAGCATCTCTAACTCCAGCATGCTGGGGGGGCTGAGGAGTTCCTCAGTGTCCCTGCATCACGCTGCTCTGCATCTCAGAGCAGTTACAGCATCCCACTTTCTCCACTCTCTGGGGTGTCCTTGTTTACTTTTGACAAAAATCCTTTCAAACAGCAGAGATACAAACACATGGAGAGTTCGCCCAACAGCATACCTATAAGTAATATTTCTTAGCAAAATATCTCATTACCTAGGTGCATTTTACAAAGTGTGCAGTTTCATTTCAGTGCTTGGCAATGCAAACCACCTGGATGACAGACCTAATTCTGGCTTGATACCTGAATCTGAAGTGAGTGTAATAAAATGGAAAAATACAGTCTCAGGGATAAAGTATCTCACAAGCTCATCTGGTAGAAACAGCACACTGGTTACCAGTAGAACCTGTCTGCTACCACTTTTTGCCCTTCACATCAACTCCAGATGGTCAGCAGGACATAGTTCTTCAGCAGCAGGCTGCACTGCTGCAGTACCCAGGCTAAGTGCTTCCTCTGGCCTGGCTCCTCCTGGGCTCTTGTAAGTCATGGTACTTCACCTTACACAGAGATGAACTTTGGTCATTCTCTGGTGTTCACACAGCAGCCTGAACTGGACTTTTCTGCTTTACTTTCAGGTCAACCAACAGTTCACCCACAGGGAATCTGTATCCAGCACTTTTGTATTTAAAAATTACAGTCCCTTCACTAGGGACTGTAGTGACAGAACAAGAGGTAAGGGGTTCAAACTTAAAACAGGGGAAGTTTAGATTGTATATAAGGAAGAAATTCTTTCCTGTCAGGGTGGTGAGGCACTGGAATGGGTTGCCCAGGGAGGTTGTGAATGCTTCATCCCTGATGCTGTTCAAGACCAGGTTGGATGAAGCCTTGGGTGACATGGTTGAGTGTGGGATGTCCCTGCCAAAGCAGGGGGGTTGGAACTGGAGGATCTTAAGGTTGTTTCCAACCCTAACTATTCTATGATTCTGTGAAAAAATATTATGAATCTCCAGAGGCATTTTACTAACAGTAAGTGAGGTTTGCAACATCTAACTGCACAGGCAGGTGGTCCACATGCTGTTTTCAGAAGGCACTTTGGTGAGCTGAGCCTTCTTGACTGACTCTGGACCCAGGAGAACAGAACTCATGAGCTGTGACAACAACAAAACTGCCAGGGTTTGAGGCTGCCTCACAAACTGGGGGCAGAGCGTGGAAAGCCCTGACTTCCCATCTATTAATCTCATTTCACTCTCAGACAACCTGTGCTCAAACACGGTATCTGTCAGTCTGGGAAACCTGCACAAACAGTTCCTGCTCTGAGTGAATTCTGCAGGGATTCAGACTCACAACTACAACAGTCTGTGACAGGAAGAGCGAATTCCCTCGCACCCCAGATAAAGATGCCTTTTGTGATGACAGTAAAGGGTTTTGCATAAATGACAAACGAGATCAAAGACAGGCACGCTACAGAGGGAGAGGAACTTACAGTGTTCATGGCACCTAGCAAGAAGCTCCAGGTCATCTGCGTGGTAGTAATCATACCCTGACGTTCCCAGAACCTCAAAGGGTAAATATCCTATAATAGGCGGAGCCCTAGAAGGGAAGCAAAGGGCAGGGAGTGAGCACAAACCCTCACTCTTTGACATCCTGGCAGATACGCTGCAACGTTAGCAACCAAACCCCCCTCATATATTCACTCGGCAGGGAAATCAGGAGTGGATTTTCATATACACAACAATGTATTTTCATATGCAAGCAAAAAAAAAGACAGCAAGAGGGAGGTAAAAATTGAGAAAATGAAAAGGTGTGTGTTTACTGTTTCACAGCCTATTCATTATGTGGGCGTAAAGAAAGGCATGTACGTATGCAAGTGACTCAATTCATTAAGCATGCTTGTGAGACACAGCTTGAGAAACGCTATGGCTGTTCATGTGCACAGTAACTTGGAGCTCGAGTAAAATTATTCAGTAGGTTGGATGTAAATGTCATCTGGGTAGTAACTGTAGAAGAAAGCAAGCTGCAATGAAGGACCAGCTTGGGTAAAAGAAAAAGTAATTGTTCCCATGGAAAAGCTTGGGAAATTATAACCAGCAAAAATGTTTCTGTGCTGGCAGTAAAAGATAAGAATAGGCACGGGGCTGATTTTGAGGACTGTTATTTTATGCAGGTAGAGAAGGAACTGATGAAGTATTCAGATACACTGCAATGACTTCCCTCGCTATTCTGCTGTCAGTGCTAGATTTTCTATTTTCTAGGCAAAAGATGAGACTTATTTTGTTTTTAAGCAGGTGTCCTAACAACACTGAGCTTGTGCACAGCCTTTACTGGAGTCTGCTAGCTTGTAATTATGAAACAACACTGAAATGTGAGCAGAAAACCACTATTTTTGCCACTATTCCCTGTATCAGCAGTTCTCAGGTACGCTGCTGCCTGCACCAGTTCAAGCACCACACTTGGTGAGGCAGGACTTGTTTGGTTCCACCTATTTGTTTCAGCTGCTGGCTGCGCTGACAGCATGAGGCTCCCTTGCCAGGCAGCGGTGTGTTAGCAAAATGGTTAACGATTCAAAACCAGGGCAGACTGAAGGTGTCCCTGCCTATCAAACGTGCCTCTCCTTTGGCATCCTCCTGGTGCGTCAAGAGACCCTCTTAAGGAAGGTGGATGCCATAAAGTGGCTAAGAACATGAGCAAAAAATTATTTAACTGTAAGTACATTTGGATTTGGACGGAGCAGTCCTCAGTCTTCTGGCTATTAATGTGGGAAATTCTCCTGTCTTGGCTGAGCAACCCAGCTCCACATTAGTACTCCTGAGAGACACAGTGGGCATAGATTATTCAACTAAAGAGAGCCCAGACAGGTCTATAAGCTCCATCTTCCCCACAACTGGGGGCAGTCTGGCATCAAATGGGAAATGGCGAAGGACAGCCAGGGATCCGCTCCACAGCAGCCCCAGGGGGATCAAGGTCTGAGCAGGAGCTCCATAGTCCCAGTACAAGGGGTCCTGAAAAAGCCAGATATTCATGGTCTGTGAGGGCAAAGCTCTTGAAACACAGTGTGCTTAGAACACAGTGGTCTCCGCTACAATACAGCTTTATTTATACAAATAACTTTTCAGAGTACTGTGTTCCTTTTCCTCATGTGACCCAGATTTCTGTTAATGACGATAATATGTGTATTTGTTAAAGTGTCCTTCCCTGCTGTCTCTTTGGTAGAATGGGCCAGTGTCTCTCCTATCTTTAATGACATGCTTATGTTCAGGACAGCAATGTCTTTCAGATGCATATCAGATAAACATTTAAGCTGATGAGGAAAGTATTATGCTTTCCTGTCTTTTGCCAGAATTCTTTAAATGAGAGAGCAACCACAAAATGCTCCTCATCTGTCATTTGACAAGGAGCAGCCTTGCTTATGGAATAATTTAGAAGTGCACTGTTAGCTTAAAGTTCCAGCCTTGAGACCTGCAACTTTCTCTGCAAATGGGAATGCACAGCCTCCAGAGAGCCTTTTTCACGCAGTCTTGTAATAAATGAAGGGAAAATAAGAAGAGGACCACAGTGCAGAAAAGAAACGGATCACTACCAAAGTCGACAGATTTTCTTCCTCTACACATATTTACATATAGACCCAGACTGCAGATTCTTCCTAGTTCTCTAATGTTTATCCAGATCTGTGGAGTGCTTTCTGCATTATCTATCTTTAATTTATGTTGTCATCAGGATAGCAAAGGTCCTGATTCCAACTCATGCTGGGTACCCTCTGCCTCTCCTCATGACCCACCTCAGTGTCAGGCAACATGAGTTGATGCAAGTAAGCAAGAAACAGCAAAATACCCAACAACATTTCACAGCATCCTGCAGACAGTACTGAGAGAGGTTTGAATCGCTGATAAAAGGAGACAACCCACATGATCCCCTCCTTATTCTTGGGTCTGGGTTCACCGCTCACATCCGGGGCTGTCACAAACTCTGCCTCAGCTTATGCATCGGTTTAATTTGTCAAACCAAATCTGCAATTAAATCTTCTAATTCACTGTTTTTTCTTTTATCTTTATAACTTCCTTGGTCATTTATGAAGATGAAAATAAAAGCTTATTGACAAAGCAAAAGGTGTAGGATTCCTGGAAGCTGTAGCTGCAAAACAGAGGAGCCAAACCGATACAGGGAACAGGACCCACACTGCTCAGTTTCAATGACTTAATATCTTGGAGAAGTTAGACATTTCCCCACCATTTTATATGGTTTATTACCTGTCTAAAATATGGAAAAGAGCAAAGCACTTAAGGATGCTAATAAGTAAGTTCAAGATATTGTCACTTACTCAGTTGCTTTTTTAGTTAGAGATATTCTACTTGGAATCTCAGGCAAAGTTTTCTATTTTAAACTACAGTTTGTTTATTCATCAGTGACTAAATCTCTTACCTGTGGTCCAAGAATAAAAACTTCCATTCCAAACTATGCCTCGATGTAAATTCTTCACATGGCTCTTCAACATTGCAGAGCTCCTGCAAAACAGTCGGCACATTCAAACATTTAATTCTGTGACATGACAAAAGGAGACCTCTAGCAAGACCAAGGAAGCATCTTGTTGCTAAAACAAACCCTAGCAAAGTACAGTGTTTTTAAAGCACTTGACTTGTTTTCCCCTTAGGAATGTGTAAGCCTAGTTTTATAGATGCATGAACAGATAAAAAGTGGACTGAATTTCAGAGCTAGGATAAATAGTCCAAAGGCCTCATCTTTTGTAGGCAAAATTCCCCACTTTTTGTAAATACTGGTATCTGAATACGGATGACAGCACCAGGTTCAGCTTTAAACTGAGCTGGCTAATGCCCTTTTGAGCAAGAAGCACCTACGGTTGTTATCCTTGCCATCGCTGCATTGCACCACAGGACACACACACAGACCAGCAGAAAGAGTCCATGGAACAGGGTGACCAGGGCTGACAGATCTGAGGCACACCATTGCACGACCATCCTTTCTCTCAAAAGCAGCTCCTGCTTTATGTCTTGTCATTCCAAGACACACACTTCTGTTGTCTCCCACTCCAGACACAGTGGGGTCCTCTCATTTACCAGCCCTCTGCACACACAACCTATGCTGCTGAGCGTACTCTTGAGAGGATGCCGCAAAACATCTGCCATCGCAACTGCCAAGCACACAGCTCATGGTACCAGCACCAGCCCATCCCCACATGAAAGGGACAACGCAGTCACAGAGCTCTCACCTTTAAGAACTGCGGTGTGACAAGACGAACAGTTGCTACGAGGCAAATCTGCTCCTCTGTGGCTGACCTGAAAGCTCGTGCAATAGCTGACTCAAAGCCATTACAGGAGGGTGTAGGCACTAGACACAACCAGACAATTTATTTAAGAAGAGGAAGGAGAGCTTTCTTTTCATGTTAAGGCAGGTACAATGACTGATGAAACCCAAGCAACAGACTCCTCCTACCCACAAGGCGATGCCACACTGATACATGCTGCATCAAAAGGAGCATGACCAGCAGGTCGAAGGAGGTGATCCTGCCCCTCTACTCTGCTCTTGTGAGACCTCACCTGGAGTATTGTGTGCAGTTCTGGTGTCCTCAACATAAAAAGGACATGGAACTGTTGGAACAAGTCCAGAGGAGGCCACGAGGATGATCAGGGGACTGGAGCACCTCCCATGTGAAGACAGGCTGAGGAAGTTGGGGCTGTTCAGCCTGGAGAAGAGAAGGCTGCGTGGAGACTTCATAGCAGCCTTCCAGTATCTGAAGGGGGCCTATAGGGATGCTGGAGAGGGACTCTTCATTAGGGACTGTAGTGACAGGACAAGCGGTAACGGGTTAAAACTTAAACAGGGGAAGTTTAGATTGGTTATAAGAAGGAAATTCTTTCCTGTTAGGGTGGTGAGGCACTGGAATGGGTTGCCCAGGTAGGTTGTGAATGCTCCACCCCTGGCAGTGTTCAAGACCAGGTTGGACGAGGCCTTGGGTGATATGATTTTATGATTTAGCGTAAGGTGTCCCTGCCCACGGCAGGGGGGTTGGAACTTGATGATCTTAAGGTCCTTTCCAACCCTAACTATTCTATGATTCTATGATTCTATTTGAAGCACTGATCCTTTAAGCTCCAGGTTACACAGTGGTAACCACCTATCCCTGGCTTGCAGGGAAGCATCATAAGACGGTTCTGAGCAGCTAAGTGTGCAGCTACAGTCTCCTTGTCAGCCTTTCTCCAGCTCACCATTTGCATGATTCAAGATTCTACAGGTTTTTCTAACTATTTAATCTTTAAAAAGCATCATTTGACTGCCACAAGTGAATCAGAATAGAACATTTTACCGGTTATTTGAATGAGTAGGCTGCTTTACAATTGGCAGTGGGTCAAATGGAGGTAGGATCAGTCTGGTATCGCTTTTTTAAGCACAGCATGCAAAAGAGTTCGCTCTTCTGACCAACAGCCTCCCCACCACGTTTGTATGAAAAACATCTCCAACATATCCACAGCTCATTCCATCCCTGCTGATCACGGGGCATTTTCAGCTGAAACAAGGCCTCTAGGAGGCTGCAGATTAATGTACAATTTAAAGGAGTGAGAGAGAGTTAAAGGTAGGCTGGAGCAGGAACTTACCATGAGTAAAATATTTAAAATCCACTACAAATTTCACATATTCATACATCAGGGGTTCATTTGGATCTAAGCTGCCTCTTGCTAAATGGCAACAAAACTCTATTTGTTTCTCTGCTGAAATGAGAGAAAGAGAGAGAGAAATACACAATGTTACTAGAAATCTGCAGTTTAGCACACTCCACATATCAATTCTATCTAGGTGCTTATACCAGACCTGCTGCTGCGGTATCTGAGCACACCCTGCTGGGATGCTCTTGAGACCCATAAGTAAATGTGTAACTACCAGGAGCAATGATCAGCTGGTTCTGCTTAAAGAAATCTATTCTCACCCTTTCTCCTACAGCTCTGCAGCCACCCCACTATGCTGGGCATGAAGCCCTGGCAACATTGGTCAGTGGTATTTTCCCCTGATTTCACGTACACACAATTTCACACAAAGCTGTTAAGCTATACTACATACCCTGCTCTGGCAGTGCTCAGTAGGACCCAGATCCAAAGGGCACTGAAGTCACCCTAAGCCTTTCCATTAAGGCTTAAGCCAGAAGGAAACCAACCCCAGGGCAGAGCACCAGCACAAGGGCTGCCCAGTGCCCATGATGCTTACAGGGCAGCAAAGAGGAGAGGCTAGCACTGCCTGGCCACGGACAACCCATGGGGAAAGGCAGACCCCAATACAGGCTTGTGAATCATGGGTGTTAGGAAGATGCTGGTGCCTGCTCTGGTGCTGGGGGTGTTTTCTGGGGAAAAGGGACATTTTGGGGGTGGGATGGGAAGCAGCAGTAGAGATCTATATGGACTGTTCAGATGGGAAGGCTGTTGATTTTATTACACATAGGGTTTCTCAGGTGTCCCAAGACATGCAAGTTTCCTAAGGTGCAAATACTCTGCCAAAATCCTTTGGGATTTTTCTTACCCTTTTCCTTCCCCCAGGCCTCACTCCTTTCACAGGCTCAGACCAGCATCCTGCCCTGGAAAAAAGCATCTAATGGGGGCAACTTCACTGTCTTATGGTGCTAAGCAGACAGTAAAACAAAGACTGCGCAAATCAAAGTCCAAGTACTGGGAGCATGTAGCAGCATTAGTATTAAACCCCAGAAATACTAACTGCAGCAAAGCAGAAGTGGCAGGCAGGAAAATTAAATAGCTGGAGAGCCCTGTGCAGGCTCCCTAGGAGCTGTTTGCCTTTGGCAAATTTCCCTGACAGACAGACAAGAGCTGTGCTTACCATTCAGAAAATCAGCTGCAACAGGATCTGTCATGAGCACATGCGGAGAAAGGAGCTTGTACACCTCGCTCTGCTCCCGCTCAGGCAGAAAGTTTAATATATTTTGGTCCACCAAATCTGACTGATACAAAAGAATGCTTTGTCATGTTCAGCAGTACAGCCTGACAGAAGCACATGCCTTTTCATCCCACAGCACAGCACAGATGCTGCCTGTCTAGCATGGCTGTTTAAGACAAGGAAGCCCAGTCAATCTGCAGGTGGATCTAGGGCAGACTATAACATTTAGGTTATTTTACCCAGGGTTGCTGTCTATTTGCAAAAGGTGGAAGGGATCCCAGAGGCTGCCCTTCTGTTCAGCCAGATGCAAGCTAGAAAAGAAACCCTCGTACCATGGGAATACAGCACAATGACAAATATCAAAATGAAATTGTGAAACATTTCCCTTTGATAGCATGATACAGAAGTGGGAGACCTCCTCCTCACATCTTCCATATGTCTCTAGGCTGAACATCTGGCAAAATCAGCTTGACCCGCAAGCACCTCAGTGCTGAGCAGCCCATACATCCTGAGTAAAGGGGCCCTACTAAAATTTTATCACATATCTGTTTCTTTGCGCACCGGGACATTCCGCTGGGTTAACTGTGTGCTCAGATTTGCCCTCATGTAGCACCACTCGGGCCTCATGCTTGGACCAGAAAAGACAAAAACAGGTTTTGAGGGGCCAGCAGAAATTTCTACACCCAACAGCCAACTGATTCTAAAAGCTCTAGAAAACTCCTTGGCCATGTACTTGTGACTAAAGACCATGGGCTCAAAGTAGAAAACCCCAATGTCATTAGAAGAGCACAGAATCAGTCCTGAAATAACCTTTAAGTTATCTGAGAAGAGCTTCCACATGCAGAGATTTCATAAACATGAGATTTTCCATATACCTGGTGGAATAAACACCACCTGGACCATGCTTTAGACATGCAGCCAAGTGGTGAGCTCTGAGTACTGTGACTTTGCATAGGTTTGGGGGTTTTTTAGCTAACCCTTAAAAGTGACTCCGTTGCTCACAGGAACTTGAGAAACTCCCTAAGAGTCTGTTGGTGCAGTGACGGGGCTGCGTTAATCAGGGGAATGGTTCTTCAACACATTGTGCTGTCAGAACTTACCGGTAAGTGTCCAAGCAGAGATGAAACACTATCAGATACATAAATAATAATCCCATCTGTGGTAAGAGCAATGAGAAAGCCATCTAGTGCCTAATGATAAAGGTAAGCAAAAAAGAAAACAAAATAAAAAGAATTATGCAAGGGAACAACTTAAAATATAATTTATTCTTTGGTGATGCTTCTAACAGCCTAAAACTAACATAAATCAATTATGGAAACAATTGTTCAATGTGGAAAAGTAAAAATTACACATGCTAATTCAACATTCTTATATTCTTATTTGCTCATTAATATTAAATTGACTTGTACTTTTCACCCAGTGACTGTTCATTTAACATGAAGCAAGACAATGGTGGCCAGAATTTCTACACCCACATAATCCCAGTGACTTCAGTACCTTCATTATGTGTTCTGGATTACACAATAGTTAACCATAAGGAGACATTAGATATCATCACGACAAACGCAGCATTGTGGGTGGATGGATGGATAAGCAGAGACAGAAAAAATATACAATACTGTATTTTTAGTAATTTACGGACAATTTGGACAAGATCTAAAGCCTGCTCTATTTTGCTTAAAGCACTGATTTGTTAGGGAGTGACACAACAGTTTTAAAGTTTGTTTTGTTTTCCCTTTCTTATTCACAACGGTTTCTTTCCCAGAGTCAAAGTTCTCTGTCCCTTTTAAGTCACTGCATGTGCCTTCCCTATTCTTCCCATCATCTTCTTACACCCAGTGACTGTCCCTATTCTTCTCTAACATGTACCAAGATCTGGGAGGTTTAACCTCTGGTCAACACCATGCACAAAGCCAACTCTTCTAAAGATGCTGTTAGGCTGCTCTGCAGCTAAGCTACAAGGAGGCAAAAATGGAGTACTCACCACCTTCCCCACCTCAGTCATACTCTGCCTTTGCTGAAAAGAAGCCCTCTCTGGAAAAAACCTCTGATTTTAAGCAAGCTGAACAGTGGTCTAACATAGTCCAGCAAGTCAAGTTATTAAAGGGCTCTCTCTACCCTGCCACTTCTAAGGGGTGGTGGTGTGGGGGGGGTTGTTTTGATTCAGCTGGAACAAGCCAGCTTGTTTGGTGAGAGAGATTTCCCAGAAAGAATGAACAGACTTTTCCAGGGAGGTGAGTCATGACATCCTGATGAAAAGGAATAACTAAGACTGCAGCACCTCCCAGCTCAGCCCAGAATACACCCTTATTTTGGTGGGGCAATGAACAACAGCTGCCCACGCAGGGTAGGAGATGTCCTTGCTGGAGGAGCACACAGCACAAACTCAAAGCTGCATCCTTAAGGAAAGAAAAAGGTAGGCTCACAGGGTGTTTCTAGATCAGCTAAGCATTTTAGAAGTGAGAGTGTCAGAGCTGTTCTCCTGGATGCACTTTAAGGCAACTCAATCAAAAGATACAGCATTCACATCACAAGTACAGCACTGCACAGCTAGCAGCAGCAAAGGCAGTGAAGTAAATGCTGGCTGGCTAATGGGATGTGGAGGAAGAGAGCTGCTCTGCTCTCTTTAGGTCCTTTCAAGTTTGTGCTAAAACTGCTAGCTCTTGCGGCTCTTCTGAGAAGGGCAATTCTCTTTTTCCACTCTCACCAGGCCAAATCTGGGCCACACTGGTCTTAATTCCTAAATGAAAAGCTGTTTATTTTAAGGGGAAGCAATCGTATTTTTAACTCTGTGTCTGCAAATCATTTAGCACAACATTGGTCTGACAGGTTTGCATTATATGTGCCAGCAGAGTAGAAATCAGTAATATTACCATTGGGACCTGAAAAGGGGAAAAAGAGGTGAGTGTCTCTGAACTACTCCACTGACCTGATTACTTCTCACTAATCTACGCAGCTTTAATTTCTTCTTACCTCTAACATCAACTGGGTGAACTCCTCGTTGCTAAGAAATGAAGGCTTCCAGTCTTGTCTAATCTCACAGGCTTCTGTCTGTGCTGTGATTTCTTAAAGAGAAAACATCAAAAAAGCAACATGACTCATGCTACTTGGATTTTTTTTGTATCAAGTAACACTAGATTTCTTTTAAGAGGTTTTCAGAGGAATCATCCTCAGATCATTCTCCACACAAAGCCTTCTTGTGTGTAACAGTCATTTTCCGTGCCAATGTGATACAAATGCATTAGAAATCAAGAAACGGAAGAGGAGACATTTTGGGTGTTCTGAAGAAATCCTTCAAATGCAAGGTCAGCGAGCTAATTTCAGAGTAGCTGGCCATCGCTGGGTGTCCAGGAGTGCCCAAGCAGTAGGACAGGCTGCACCCAGACATCTTCTACCAGAGGAGACCTGTTAAGAGGGCACAGAGCCTCCTTTCCCCTGGCTTTTGTAGTGTGTGCTGTTCCTCTGCTCTTCTTCCCTCATGCTGTTTGAGAGTGTACAAAACGTGCCAGGGGATGCAGAGGCCAGTGAGGGAAACAGAGCAATGTCACTACATTAAAAAGCATCTTTTCAAGCGTATCTATGCTTAACTCATCATTGCTGTATTCAAACCTAGCTCATTTCCTGAGGCCAACTGTTGTGCCTTATTCTGCCCTGCACTTAAGTTCATGTCCTCTCTGGAGGCCTTAGATGCTTGGGAAAAAGAAGTTTTCATCTGAGCGGAATCTGGCCGCCGGGCAGATGCAGAGCAAGCACCTTCAACAGAAGCAGGCCTGAGCCCTCCAGTACCTTTCTGTTTCTGTAAGAAGTCGATGGTCCTCTGCAGTATTGTGGACTTGTCCATCTTGAGAGGGTGGCCATGGCCCTGCAGCATCGTGCAAAGCTCTTTAATGAGGACATTGAACTGGTCTCTCCTCTTCTTTTCAGATTTGTTGCGTGATGCCCTGGATGACAGAAACAAAAATGCTGCTCAGTAAAATGAAGGACATACAGCTCGACCTGGGGAGAGGCAAATGGCCCTGCCCCAGAAAAACACTTTAAATACAAGAATCTAAACTCCACTGGGACTGCTCATTTGTTTAAAATTAGGCTTGGGCATTAAACACCTCCCAGGTGCTCAGGGCCTTGCAGCAGGACTGAACTCACCATCAGCAGGGAACATCTGGAGGTAACAAATATGATTTATATTCACTTGAGCAAGACTGCATCCTTACATTGTTTCAAAAGCATGGTAATGAGGTGAAGGTGTTATGGGCAAAATTCTTCCAGAAAGAGAAGTCCTGGCACCTATGTGTTCATGTTTTGCCAATCTCATTTTTACGAGCTTTTGTTTTGCAGTGAGTACATGCTATATAAGGTATAAAGGTCAAAATGTGAATGATTCCTTACTCCCTGATTTGCACTTGCAAAAGTAGCTTATCAAGAGACAATACTGTGCAGAGACAACTTGACTGCAGAAAAAACTCAAGCACATGCCCTTCTATCTGGTTTTGAAAACCTGCTGCTATGATACATGAAACCAGGAATGTTAAGAGTCTGGCTGCAGAAACCACAGCTTGCATTAATACAATTTAAGAATGTTTTATTAAGGTTTTGTCCTCCATTAAAAACAATAAAGAGTAAAGCAAATCCACTCAGTTTCTTCCAAAATGTTTTTTTCCAATGCTTGTATCTGAGATAACCCTGTTTTCTTACAACCTCTTCCAGTAGTATTAATTTTCTTACGTGAACAGAAGTGTATTCATGATGATACACGCTTCTTGTGATCTAGACCAAGTGTGGTATGCAGAAAGCATTTCCATTCACATTCAGGTTGGCATTTGGAGGTTCTAAGATACAGCATTTATGTTCACAGCCATCTCTGTTTTGGTACTTGTGTACAATGACTAATCAGAACTCAGCCAAATGCTTCTCTGAAGGGAGACTAACTCATACTTGTGTTAAAGCAGGACTACTCTGTAAGTTTCACAGGGTGCTCTGCCCCAGGTGGGCAGCACTGCATGATGCCAACAAAACCAGAGGTCAGGAATCCTGCGTCAAGATAATAAATAGCCACGGGATACCATGAGATTCTGAGGGCACAGCTATGTAATATAAAGAACACTCAGCTGATTAAGCCATCACAGGGGTGGCCAAACACACTATGAGGAGCTTGAAGATGATGACTTAATTATGTTGTTTGTGGCCTGCTATATGCAGCCTATAAACTGCATGGGGGTTTTGCCTCTGACATCAGTAGTCCCAAGTAGTTTTTCAAGCACTGGACAACACAGCATTTACAATTCTCCTTGGGAGGAGTTTCCGCTCCCAGTGCTCTGTGCATCCCCTTCATACCTCTTTGCCCTGTCCTTCTCATCTTCATCCATCAGTTCGTTTACACAACACAGAGCTCTGGAAGGAAAGGACAGAAGTACTTACTGAGACATATTCCCTGATCTTTTTGCAGATGTCAGAATATGGAGCTTACTGGTTTGTACTTTATGACCTACTAAATGTTTCAATCTATCTTCCCTTTCCCAAACTCCAATCTTGTTATGCAGTTTCTTGCTTCTGCCAGCTACTGAGTCTTGAGAAGTGAAACCATTGCTGTACCCCCAAACATACAGCTAAAATACGAATGACTTTAGAGGGAAAGAGCTAAAAGCCAGCAGCCTCTCAGATTGCCTTTGCACTCCCTGCTGCCAAATGAAGAGGAACCCTGAGGAAGCATTGAGCTTTGCACAGGAATAAGCATCTCCCCTGCAAATGTGAGAGCTGATTTGACTCTGATGTCCAAACCAGGCAGCACTGTGTCTGGTCCTGTTTTGGAAAATCAAACCGGCTGCTGGCTGATTTCAAGCATTGCAATACTTGAAAAGTATCTGAGATTTCTTTCTCAGTGGAAGGGCATAGGGAGGAATAAGGAAACTGTGCTAATCCCCAAAAGGATTAGTATTAGGCAACAGCAGGCTACAATAAGGACATCTAAGCTATGATGTGATAGACAGGTTCATCCAAAGTATCCTGCAGCCAATGACTGCTGCTTGCACCGGTGGACTTCACCACATCTGAGCTGTGTTCAACCACCGGGATTCATATCCAAGACTTGAACTTGAAACTTGTCAACAAATCACCTGGCACTAACCAGGGGAAGAAAAGAATGTGACCTGGGTTCCTTGAGTTCCTGCATCACAACAGTCATTGTGGGCTGCTCTCTTTACCTTCTTTATCTGTTCCTGCAGCACAGGTAAGGTGAACAGTGGGCAACAACTCCCAGGAAGGACACAGTACTCTCAAGCCCCAGGAAATGATGGAAAATCCAATATGAGGGTAACTTCTTCATTGGTGACTTGCTTTCTGTGACCCAGACAGGCTAAGTCCAAGGGATAGGAAGTCAGGCAGATGCAGACAAGACAGCTGCCATCACTCCGTGACATGTTGCCCAGGTCAGCTGTGCTGGGTTGCGTCCCCTTCAGACACCTCCAAAGAGGAAAACTGCACCTGATCCTGGCATCAGCACCAATATGCCTCCAACTCTAGGTAGCTCTTTCACTGGTAAAACCCTCTCAAGAGACATTTTTCAGTGTGCACATCCAAATGTTTTTCCCTGCTTTAAGACTTCTCCAAGCTCAAACAACTTGGTGGCTATAAAACCACCCACAACTTAGAGGTAAAGATGCTGCTCACAGTAAAAGCTACAAAAATTTACCCTCCTTTCCTGCTCCGAGGCAAGGATCTCCCTTCCAGCAGATGACCTGGGCAGAAGAAAGTATGACTTCTTTTGTCCCAAAGTATGAAAGCACTCCATGGGGAGGGAATGGTCCTCACTCACTGAAAACTACAATCCAAATTAGAAATTACCAGTTCTATTCCTCAGGTTCATCAGTCCAGACTGACGGAGTGGGATTAGCACTTCTTATCACCATGTAAATAGAGACGGAGGAGAATTAATCCTGGAAAGAAAAGCAAATCCAGTTAAAACACTGCTGCATGCAAGCCTTAGCCTAGAGAGAAGCAATCACTTCAAGTTGAAAAAGTCTACCACCATAAATTAGAAACATGCTCAAGTATAAGTGGTGAATGCTCAGAAAAGCCTCCCGGATTGGGAGCTGGACCATGTTCTGAGGGTCCTTGCTCTGTCTCCGTGCCTGCTGCTGCAGAAAAAGCCTGGGAAAGCCAGCTTGACCTCTTGTGCCCAAAAACCCATGTAGCCCACCAGGGTGGAGGAATGGCCCTACTGACCTGGGGCCACTGAGGATTGATCAGAATCCTTCCAAAATATGACAGTTTACTGGGCATGCGTGCTATGAAAACCATCAAGTATGATACATTTATCTCACATTTCCTCCTTCGAGATGATAGACTGTGGATAGACTTAAGGCCTCCCATTAAGGTTTACTACTTACAGGACACACGCCTCTCCTTTTTGTTTGTGCTTTGAGCAGTTATTAATGAATACCCTGAGCCGATTATACCCACGTTGCAGTGCTCATCTCTCTGAAACCATCACTGTTGAAACTTGTTTGGCTTCAGATGAGCCTCATTCTCAGGAAAAACACAAATGAAACCACAGTGTCCATGACTGACAGTGATATCTTCAACAACAGCCGAGTGCTGGGCTTCCAAACCTAACAAGTTTTTAATGCCCTCCCTGTTTTGAGCCCAGGTTAATGGCTATTTCTCCTGTTACCATTAATTCCAACATCAGCTCAAAACACTGCAAAAACCTCTCTGCAACCATGCAAATAACATATTTGTGACCATTGTGAATGAGAAAAAATACCCCCACACTTCTGATCATCTAAAGCACTAGCGAGAGCTCGTTCATTTCACCAACTAGTGAAAACACCTCAAAGGGAAGGAAACAGCTATTTGCTGTTCAAGGCCAGGTTGGACAGGGCTTGAAGCAACCTGGTCGAATGGAAGGTGTCCCTGCACATGGCAGGGGGTTGGAACTGGGTGATCCTTAAGGTCCCTTCCAATCCAAACCAGTCTAGGATTCTATGAAACACAGGAAGGTGGCTGAAGAAGCATGGCAAGAGACACACACTGGGCATGCATGCTGTAAAGGGCAGCTGGGACAGGGTAGGGACTGACATTGTGGGGCAGCCGCTAAGCACGACGAACAACACAGATCCCCAGCAGTGATACAGTGAGAGTGCTTTGCAGGGGAGGTTTCCGTGAGTAACGTGAGACAACAGGCCCAATTCCTGCTCACTCCTGCTCATTGCAGCTCAACAAAATTATGCTGGTCCATTTGCTCAAAAAAAAAAAAAAAGGGCTCAGATAAAGCGTAATCTCGTCATTGCAGACAGTAATATGGAAGTTACCTGTAAGAGGTCTGAATCTCAGACATAAAAGAAGTACTAGAGTTACATATAAAATACATAACGTGTTCCAGTGGTAAGTCTATCAGTAAAAAATGCTGTTGGGAACAGAACTTCAGGAAAAATCTCACCCAACTGATTCTTTTCAGTGAAGCTGCAGCTGAAAACAACATCTGGGTAGCAAGTTTAAACACGGCGGATCTGCTGTGCTCCTGTTCTCACAGCCATCATACTCTGCTCAAGCTACAAGCTTTTATCCCGGTTCAAAAGGAGCATGTGATCTTATTTGCTACCTTATTGAGCTGTCATAGAAGCAAGGTGCTTATCCTAGTCACTGCTGCTATTGTCAGTGCTGTTTTATCAAAATCATCCAGTCATTTCTCCTCTAGAAGAATGACCCAGACAGATGTTTCTGTATCTTGTAATAATTTCAGAGACATGTAGGTATAAGGAAAATCCTTTTTTAAAGCAATGTGCTAAATTATAAATGCTCGTGAATACACAAACAGATCTATCACAGTTTTTCAGGAAACATTTTTTTCTTTATGGGCTGAAGTTGCAAAATTTCCACCAAACAAAAGGATTCTTCCCGAGCTTTGAGTGCACAGCATTACGCAGAAACCTTCACACTGTCTTGCCCATAGGTTGGCTGACAACTGAAAACTCCAGGGAAGCCTGACAGGTTTCCTGCCTTGTACAGGTGGCTGCCTTCCCAGCCAGTTTGAATAGCAGTAAAATGAAGTAAGCTGTTTGATCACTGAGAAGCAACAGGCTAGCTAATGCTCACCCAGTCTAAACTGGGAAATGAAGACCGGATTCTCCAGTCTCTAGCAGCAGCTATCACATCCCACTGCAGTCTGGTTGATGTGAGGTGCAAGGGGCAGAGGAATAAGGCATCCCAGGTCTGTCCCAGTAGGACACCCTTAATGAACATGAGAGATGTCCTGAGTCAACACCAGACTTTGAGGCTTTAACAGAATAAATGGCTATAAAACCATTCACAGGCTCAAACACACAGAGAAGCTTTTTGCATGATGCAGCAGGATGGTGAGCTACAAAAAGTCTTAGTAGGAGACACCTAAGGACAAAATATTCTTAACTGGATTAAGCACTTCAGGACTACATTTAGCTAAGTGCTTTTTGTCTTGTTATGAGCCAGAGCTAAATATAGTAACCAGAAGACTTAAGAATAGTTTCATAAGGGTTGTATACACTTCTCAGCCAGATAAGGCACTTAGCACTACTGACAGCGGTGTGTCTGCATGTTAAGAGTATTTTAAATAGCTCCAGATGAAATCTCTTTGACCTTAACTGTATTAACCAGAGGGATCAAAATTTATTTATTGCCTCCTGAAAATCCTCTCGTGCAACACTTAGAGAGAAGGATTCCTGAACACCATGGGCAGGTGAAGAGAGAGGACGCTTGTCAGTGCTGTTCATTGTTTTTCACCCCACCTACAAGAGGCAAGGATCAGCTTCCTCACAAAGAAATGCACATCCATCACTGCTTAATGCCTTGTGCAATGGGAAAAGACTTTTTCTTCCCTGGTATGGGGAGTCTCAAAAAACACTCATAGCATTTTAAGGACAAGCTATACTTCCGACTTTTCAAATATCACAGATTTGAAGTTGTTTCCAGGGTTACAGAAAGGGTAATACAGTATGACAGGCTTAACAAGACAAATGGACTTCTCAGACACATGGCTAATAGTAATAGTGCTACCTGCAATATCCTGGCACATTTTTTACTGAAGAGAGAATAAGAAAGGGAAATTATTATTTTTTTTTTTCAGAATTGCCTGACTTCAGGAGCAACCTAAACCTGCAGCTTTTGACTAAAGACAATGTTTATTTATTGGCTTGCTGCAAATCATTAGAATATTACCTTAGGATAACTCTTAATGTAGCATCACATTAGTAAGAATTATCCCCTGAAACCAAGAGTTCCTATGAATGCTTCATTATAGGTTTAATTTTAAGTATTTGGTTATGTCACTGATGGCAAGGCAAAGATCACTTTATGAATGTAATGCTGCACAATTGTTTGTGGCCAGCAACAAATAAAGCTTTCATTGGTCACCTAAAAAGGGTCCCTGAATACAGCTGATTTGATTGGTTTTCCCAACTATAGCCACTGGTCTAATCAAAAATATTCTCTATGCATAAAAACTTTGTTGTGCTTGTATTTAAATTTTCCTAACATTTTGCATTTGAGCAGTGTACAGCAGTTAGGGAGTCTTCAAATCTACACTGTAGAAAATAATTTCACTATGGAAATGTATCGTGCTAATAATTTCCACAGATTTTACATGCAATGAATTCATCAGAGAGCCCTCAATTACAAGATGCAGGACTTTGTGGCACAATGCAGTCATAAATAAGAGAGTTAATGCGTTCTCCAGCAATATGGTTTATATGCCAATATGCGGATGTTTCATTCTTCTTGAGGCAATAGGAGAGCATGACTCTGGTTGACAGCTAAACACTGATTTAATTTTTAAAAGGCAGAATTTAACCTCTTCAGTAAAGTGCTACTGATTCAATTACAAGATGCTAATGGAAATGACATTTGAAAAACCAAACAGTGCCACTGCATCCTTGGGGCTGCTTAGCACAGAAGGGATCACCACCCCTGTTCAAGCACAGGAGCACTGAAGTCCTGCTGCCTGTGCTGTGCTACCCACTGCTGAGCCATTCACCCAGAGCATGGAGGAAAGCCACAGGAGCAGCTCCCACAACCCTCCGCTGCAAAAGTCCTTCTCTTACACTGAGCAGCCACCACTGCAGCACAGCTCAGCAAGAAACCATAACACAGAAATGCAAAGACTGAAACATGCAAAGGAGTTGCGTCTGCTTTCTTAGTCTTTTCCTGCTTGCATTTCACCCTCTCCTTTCCTTGCCCTGCCTTGCCTTCTGTTGTTCTTCACTCTTTCCTGCTCTTCTTTGGCTTATCCCCCTCGCTTAACATCCATTGGTTTGCAGTTCAGAGAACTGGATCTTTCTTGAATGTGGTTTCTTTCCACCTTGTTGTTTCTTATGTCATCTGCCTTCACTTTTCCATTGCCTTTTCTTCTATGTGTTCTTCACTTTCCCTTTCTCAAAGTGAAAAAACCTGTTACATGATCTCAGTATTGACAATCAGTCAGCCATTTACTTGTGGGAACTCTTGGCTTGTCCAGGCCTGAGGCATGCATGACTGCCAAACTCTATTTGAGGACACACTATCTTAGGCATCATGCTGGTGGGGATCAGATGAGTGTCTTCAACACAGCTGGCTCCCACACCCCCTTGGTCCAGGCCCAGGAGCACTAGGTCCTGTCCTGCCCAATAGTTCCTAATTTCAGCTTCAGATCCTCTGGAAGAACTGGGATCCCCCCCTCAGTTCAGCAGTGGAGCTGTGCAGCTCCATCCCTTACAGAAACACCAACCTGCATCTCTGCTGAGGGAAATGGTCCAACACAGCACACTTGTCTGTGGCAGCTGACACTCCTGCACTCTTTGGGGCCTGACTGTACCTATATTTTCACACAGCATCTGTTTATTGGAACATGGGTAATGACGGTGAGTGAGTGAACCAAATAGTCCTTTTCTGTTAATCTGTCAGAAGTGGACTTTTTGTGCCACTA